TCAATTTAGAAAGCTCATATGCTCGAATTCTTAAAATAATATTAGTACGTAAATCAAACATAAGCGAAGCACAGATATAATATTATGACGAAAGCGAGCTAGCCCTAACAGAATTGAAATGAAATCACGCATTAGTGAACGTTTAGTGATGATTGCTAGCTATAGCTCTATTAAACCAAAAATGAGTTACATCGGGAATTTAATGCTTGTTCATTAATAATTGTTTCATTCTTTGTTACTTTAGCAGGTATGTTCAACTTGAGGGGAAAAAAACTTGAGAAAGTGGAGCCCCGAAATGAATAATTTTAGAGCTATCTGAAACCAATAATTTTTTTTAGTGCTAGAAATGACACATGCTTTTATAAATTACGATTATTCGAAATGTTTTCTTTTTCTTTAACTATAGTGAGCGAGCTGTAATCAATAGGACCCTTTTCACTGCTGAATGATCCTCAGTATAGTTAAATTTATTGATTTGAGAGTATATTGCTTAATCTAAAGACGTTAAATCATCGAGAGGGCATCAAACAATGAAAAATGAGATTGATATAATTGTCAGGATATACCATTTAGTTTTGTGCATGATTGCGCAATAATGATTAATAGCATTTTGTAACTCCCTACGAAGAAGGGGTATTCATTTAGCTGATAACAACATGTACTCCAAACAAGGCTTTGATAATAAGTGATTGAACAATATATAAAGCATTATGAAGCTTAATATAGAGTAGAGAACATATTTTAATGAGTTTTTACACAATGATTTGAAAGTTAAGTGAACAATTTTGTCAGCTTTGTTAGATAGTTTGTTCACTTTATAAATCGGAACTTGAACTTTGGAAAAGTGTTTTAAATACCTTCAAATTTTAAATTTAAAATTCTATAATTTAGTCAACAGGACGCATTTAAATAAATAAAATGAATCAACATATTAATGATCTTAAAAAATATATTATTTGATTGCTGGATATATAAGAAAACTATGTGTGTGCGCGTAGGCTAAAGTAGAGCACTGAGAAAAAATATGATCAAAACAGCTAAAATATATTAAAATTTACAATGTTACGCCATACAATATTATTATACTTGTAGTGCTTATAGTATAACACACTCCTTCAATTTAAAATTCAATGAAACAAACAACAATTGAAGATTCCGCAATCATGCTATGATGCAACCCAAAAAATAACAGGTGATATTTTACTGAAATATAGTCAAATAAGGGAAAAGAATCGGAAAATGGCAAAGCTTTCCCTTAATTTATGCTTTGATATTATTTTTTTTAAATTTGCTTAAGGCTCTCTACCAGTTAAAATTTGTAAATTACAGAAAACTATTCTGAATGGTAAAATTAAACTTAAATTTAGACACAAATTACAATAATAAGGTTTACACGAATATTAAGTCTGTTCACACATCGCCTCGTAAAAACATAAGCGGAAGTATACACCGGAAGTTTTCCAAATTTCTTCCTGTTTTAGGAAGCTTGTTATTGTCACATTCAGTCAACCATCCATGCCGTAAAAAGAAATTCATGCTGAAAAATAATCGATCAATTTAAAGGTTGAAATGCCACGGTGGTTACGACAACCAAAACTAAAATAACTGAACTCGTTTATTTAGAAGATTTTCATTGAGAATAATAAACAACAAAACTGAGTAAAAGCTGTTAAGATTAAAACGATACGGTGCAAGTGTGATGCAGAAACATCAATATTACTTTTGCCATCAATACCATCCAAATTCCAATTTTAAATGGCTTATGAAAAATATATTTTTTCAGAGAATTTCACATCGAACAAGAAAGGAAAAGTTTTTTTTTTACCGATAAAAAAGTAATTTATGACCAAAAAAGGAGTAAAAGATAAGAAAATAGTAGGAAATATGAAGATAAATTAAAGGAAAATCGCATCATGAAATGATGTAATAAAAATTTAATTTTCTATATCTAATTAGCTTAAAACAGCTGCAAGTGTACAATTTTAAAAAAGGGAGTTGTCATTAATTTTAATTTAGGTTGTGTAACTACATTCAATATCTTTCTTGGAAGGATATTTACTTTTTTATTTTGATAATAAATTGAAATCATAAGGTCATTATTATTTTGTCTAGCTTTGTATGTATGCTGTTACTTTTTTCAAAATGAAGTTCTAAAAATATAAGACAAAACTATTAAGGTAAACCTTTGATTCATAAGCGTTTTATTTAATTTATATGAATTAGAGATTTAATTTATGCAAATTTATAAATTTCTATGTTTAGGAATGCAACATATACATAAATATTACATAATCCCCCTACTTAATTATTGTAATATAAACTCTTAAAATTGAAGAACGCCAAAGGGAGTTGTAAGAAAGTAGGGAAAAAAAAGAAAAAAAGAAGGCTTAAAGATAGCCTCTTCTCCAAACTGTATGAAGGCTTTTATTTTATATTTTACATTATATTATATCGTTGAACAATCGACCCGATTTTGGGTTTACGACTACTAATGTTCAACTCCGTAGCCTTTTAATTTTGAACCAATAAAGAAGACAGGGCAACTCCTGGATGAGTACCACCAGAGGAATTGATTTGCTATGGGTACACGGAGCACGATTCGACAGATTTAACACTCATCAGTCATCATTTACTACACGTCTTCGGTTGGCCTGGGATCGAACCCATAAACTCTTGGACATGGCCCAGTGCCCTACCAACCAGGCTATCTCGGCTCTGTCTGAAAGCTTTTGACAATTGACCAGGCATTGCTTTCGTTTACGTTGCAAAATCTTTACAGCTTTGTCTTTTGAGTAATAGGGTGTATACCATGAATGGCCTGCCCTTTTACCTGATCTATATCCCCAAGAAAGTGTGGGATTTATTCTCTGCAGGACAGTATATACGAAAAAGTAGGAGTTTCAAATTGAAATCAATTGAATTGTCACTATTGAAACCAGGGATAAGAAAGATGCTGACTTCATCCAGGGTTTAGTAAATAATACTCACCATCATATATTTCAAATTATATATAAACATGGCAGATGTATTTGATATACTCAGAAAAGGCTTTATTTCGATGGGACACTTTTTTCCTCTGATTTTTACTTGTTCCATATTTTTTTCCTGTTCAGGTCAATTATTCTTTACAAATATGTGTTTAGATATAAAATTTAGTAATTTGTATGTTTGGTTCTCCTTAGTTTTTTTCTTTCTTTTTTGTGTCCAGTTAGTTAATCAAAACGTGGATCACTCCATACAAATACGTGTTTAGATATAGACTTTATTAATATGCATGTTAGCCCATCATTTTTTTTTGTGTCCAGTCAATCAAAAGGTTGATTACTCCATGTAAATATGTGTTTAGAAATAGACCTTGGTAATATGTATGTTTGGTTCTCCTTTTTTTTGTGTCCAGATGATTAAAAGGTTGATTGCTTAATGTAAATATGCTTTTAGATATAGACTTTGGTCATATGTATGTTTGGTTTTCATTTGTTTTCTTTGTGACCAGTTAATCAAAAGGTGGATTACTCCTTGTAAATACGTCTTTAGATATAAACTTTGGTAATATGTATGTTTGCCCCTCATTTTTTTGTGTCCAGTTAATCAAAAGGTTGATTACTCCATTTAAATAGGTGTTTAAAAATAGACTTTTATAATTTGTATGGCTGTCTCTCATTTGTTTTCTTTGTGTCCAGTCAATCAAAAGGTTAATTACTCCATGTAAATATGTGTTTAGATATAGACTTTGGTAATGTGTATGTTTGGTTAATATACCAGTTAATCAAAACACAGATTTAAAGATTTTTTTGGGGGTCACAGTACCTAAAAAATGACCAAAATATCGAAAAAAAATTTATTGCTTATAATAAAACTTCAAACTATTTCAAATGCACTGAAAAAAATCATCTCTCTATCTACATTTTTAAAAAAGATATGAATGATTTTAGATTGTCCTACTACAGAAACGTGCTCAGCAGACAGACTATAAAGTGCTTTTTCTCATAGATGATACTTTTGTGTTTTAATCTTTATTAAATCCCTGAGGAACTTTTTCCATTTAATATAAGGCTTTGAAGTATACTTTTTTATCTTAGGTATAATACGCTTATGTAAATTTTTAATGGAATAAGCATTTTATGAAGTATTACAATTTTCACCGCATGTTATATATACCAAGCAAGAATTTTTAACCTTTTCTTTCTACTTTTTTACAAAATAATCTGTAAAAAATATTCTAATTGATACATCAGCAAATGAATACACAAAATTGTTAAGATGAATATTGTAAGCTCTAAGAATTTTTTTTTTAGAAAATATGCTAAACTAAAAAAGCCTTAGGGATTTAAAAATTATGAATTTTTGCAATTTTTTTTAAAATTTAAGAAAAATTAAACTGTTTAATTATTTTTTTGAGATAAATTATTAATTATTAGTTAAATGAGCGTGTAAAGCATCCACTAAAGGAATGATTATGCCTTTATTTAAAAAAAATGTTGCAAAGGTGCTGTGACCCCTTAATACAAATATAATTTGAAAGTGTAAAACAATGTTGAGAATTTATTGAACTAATTAATCTAACTAAGTAATATTTTTGGTTTTAAAACATTCAACAACTCTTATTGTAGCTAAATATTAAATAAGAATTTCTAAAAAAATTAAAGAAAGAAATAGTAAATTGGTGGACGAGGTTACAATAGCAATATTATTGTGAGTAATATTATTGTGATAAAATTTTACTTCATTAGAATTAGAAACTAGATATATGGAACCAATTTCAGCTAATAAAGTAAAACATTTTGATCTTTTGATTGAAATTTTCTTAAATTTGACAAAACATCGTCCAGAAACAAAAAAATATCTTTAAATCTGTGTCTGTGAGGAGGGAGGGGGATGGAGATAAAGTCCCCTAGTATTTACGAAAAACAAGCTAGTAATGTCATTAAAAACACAAAATGTAGTCCAATTTTAGCAAAATGTAAGACTGAGAAAAAAATGTTTCAAGTAAAGTTCTTCTATTGCTTGGTTATTTTTTTATTCAAATTTGCAAACATTTATAGACAAATTGCACATAACTTACATAAAATGGGAAATATTTAAAACATTGTGAATTAAAATACGAGGAAGGCTGGCAGAGATTTAAAGATATACAAAACTAAATTTGAAGCAAATACAACGTATAGCTGAGAATAACAAAGCAATTAAACACAAAAACATGACAACGAATTTACTATCTTGCATAAAGAGTTAACAGGAAAAATTTTTAATAAGCTTGCTTGCAAAGTAAAATTGAAATGATGTGAGAAAAAAATAGGAAGTAGCTAAAATATTCCACAAATACATACAAAAGAATAAAATATTGAAAAATACTAGAAAACCTAAAAATATGGTAAAAAATAGAAAAATATCTTGGGCATGCATAGAAGAGCAGAAAGACTGAAGAAGTTTAAGACAAGTAAAACATATAAATACTGCATGCAAAAAAAGAAACATTTTATTGAATAACATGCTAAAAGGTGAGAAAACCAAATATCACCAAAAATATACATCGCAAGAAATAAAATTGCGCGAAGAATAGTATTAAATATAGGAGATATTAAGAAATAAATAAGTGAGAAATAAGAAAAGATAAAAGCATTCTAAGAATTCAAAGGGGGAAAAAAGAACATTCAAAGAATAAATACATGCAAAATAACATAATAAATAAACATAACAAAAATATATAAAAAAAACAAGGGTGATTTTAAGCAATTTAATTCCCTGGAATTAGAAATGAATGCAATAGAAGCAGATTTTGAAAAGAAAATTCAATACCCAAATAAGTAGAACATGCAAATTGTTAAAGCATATAAAGCAATGCAACGCGAAATTCAAAAAGAAGGAGAAAGTAGGAAGCTCTAAAAATGATTCTAGAATTGAAGAAAAATCACAAACATATGATAATGCAAGACAGTAAAAACTTAAATTTCAGAAGAGGCACAATTTATTATGTTGTAGTGGAACAAAATAGTTACAAACATAAATATAAATTATTTCAATAAAACACTAATTTAGTTAATATCCATATCTAGCATATCCCAAACCACCTAAAATTCCTAAACCGAGTCCTCCATAAGCTCCACCATAACCAAGACCTCCATAAGCTCCACCATAACCAAGACCTCCATAAGCTCCACCGTAACCAAGACCTCCATAAGCTCCTCCATATCCACCGCCATATCCTAAACCTCCATATCCATATCCAGCAGCTGCTGCAGGTACACCCAAGTATCCTTCACCACCGGTGTAAGGAGCATCGGAGACGAGGAGTACTGCGGCTGGGTTTTGGTTTGCGGTTCCGGGTTCGTTAGTCTTGACTTGGGCTCTGAATCCGGCTTTGTCGGCTACGTAGTTCACTTGTCTTTTAACACCTCGAGCATCGGTAAATCCGTAGCTGCCAGTCACGTGCCCTCCTGTTCCCGATTCTTCCCTATGTTGTTCACCATGCTTGTCTTTAATGCTGTATCCAAATTTGTAAGGCTTGGGTGCGTGGTGCTCTTCCACTGGGAAATGACCATGAGCATACTGAAATAAACAAAAGCTTGTTTTATATGGAATGTTTCAATTATTTAATTTTAAAATAAAGATTTTATTTTATTTTATAACCGTCGTTAAACAGCCGACCCAATTTCATGGGTTTACGACTACTTACGTTCAACTTCGTAGCCTTGTAATTTTGAACCAATCCAGAAGACAAGGAAACTCCTGGATCAGTACCCCCAGAGGTATTGATTTGTTGTGGGAACATGGAGGACTTTGAGACTCGACAGATTTAACGTGCACCACTCACCATTTACTACACGGGGAGTCTTCGGCCAAAGAGGATCGAACCCACGACCTCTTAGATATGGGCATAGCGCCCTACCGACCAGGCTATCCCGGCCTCTAAAATAAAGATTTAATTTTTTTTATTTTTTTTTATTGTTATTTTAATAACATTTTTCGAGTAATAGTACCAATAAAACTCATTTTATAGTATTCCATGTCTGCAGAAAGCTAATATTTTCTTAGTTTATGAAATCCTGTTCCCGATTACAGTATATTATTGTATACACTATATTATTGTATACAATTTATTAGTTAAAGTCTTATTAATCATAACTTTATTAGCTATAGTTTATCTTAGTTGCCTGGTTTAAAAAGCTATAGTTAAAAAACAAATAATATTTTATTAATATCACTTATAGGTTTGAGTGCCCAGTGTTCAATCCAACAAATTTATAAATTATTTAATAGAAAATCAGCTTCACTAGTTATATAATGTCTAAATAATAAATATCAATCCTACAATACAGATTTAATAATCTCATCTTTAAAATGAAACAATACACAAATAAATTTAATTCCTCGGAGGTTAAATTTATAACTTTAATTTAGTGAAATAGCCGGTTAAATTACTAAAATGTGTGAAAATGTACAGATCATTTGATTATTCGATCTTCAATTAAGGAGTGAATACGGAATTGTTAATTAATTTATTTTTTTCAAATGTCATTATGTTGTTTTTAAAGGTCACTATTTTTAACTTCAAATAAACCTCAAATCTATATTAACACCTTAAATCAACTTCAAATAAACCTCAAAAATACCTTAAATTTCTGCAAGGGCAAACTCTTTGCTCTTTGAATTTTAATTGGTTCTGGGTTTTTTCAGTCAACGAATTTTTTGATTAATATCGCACATTCTCTCTCGAACTCAGATTTCTTGCTTTTTACACCAAAGAGTGCGCATCCTGCCTTTCTCTCTCAAAGGTCCGTATCAAGGGAAATAATTCATTTTCTTACAGCCTTTTTCTTTGTCTTTATTATTAATACAAACCATCAAGTCGTTATAAGTTTCAGCAATTTAAATGCATTCTTTCTACCTTTTTATACATTTGAATATTTCTTTGCCATTCAAAATCCTTTCCGTTTAAATATTTCTCTTGTATTTATTTTCTTAGCACCTTTAAATTTACTCTTTATCTCTTACATTTTTTACGTTTCAAGTTTAAATGCGAAAACTTTATAAAAATTTTTTTGAATGATTTTTGGATTCTTTAAATGCTTCCCAACTTCTAATTCGATTTCCTGATTTATGAGTGTTTTAGCCTGTAAAATTTTTTTTTTAATTTTTGTCTTTGTGTGATATAAAATAATTAAAATCAAGAACTAAAGAAACAGGGTTGAATCTAACATGTTTTTTCTTATTATTTTGATGTATTTCCTTTTCTTCTGTGTCTCCTGTATGCGGTGGGTACATCTTCTGTTTTATGGGCTTACTTATGCTTTTTGATTGGAAACATCACTCCACTGTGTTAAATGCTACGCTCGTATTTGGATACAGAAGGTCATTATTATTAACTTTAATGTGTAATTTTATTTATTTTTTTTGTTCACCTTATGTTCTAACTTCAGTGTTACCAATCTGCCCTATTTGTTCAAACCTCACTTTGTGTGACCATTGAATCTGTTGTGCTATTGCTATCACACATTGTTTCGTACGACCTCTTTTAGTAAACGATCACGTTCTCCTTAGATTAATTACTTTTGATCCTATTTTCAGAATAATTTTTTTTAACTTTGAAATCAATGATGGTTATTCTCCATTCAAGGACTGAATATTTTAATATCCAAATATAAATATAATTTCATTAAATTTTAATATATAATATGAATATTATGTGTCATTATTCACTATAAATCCAGAAACCATCATTAATCAATCATACAACTATTATCAATCAATCATACAATCAGTCTATCCATTATTATCTTATAAATAAAAATGTTTAAACTGAAACAATGCAATAGCAACATATGCAACAATAAAACAGCATCATTGTTTTTATATTTGTTTGCAACAATCATTAGATTATTTATATTCTTCTATTTTATATCTATAGTACTTACCGTCATAGAGATGACACTGAAGACAAGAACGAAAATGCACTAAAAAAATAAACAATTTCATCAAATTATTCTACAGATTAAATATGTAGTCTGCCAATAAACTAAATGGATTTATTTTATTTTTAAAATTTAATTCTTTGTTAGAGAAAATGGCTGAAAAAATACCATTTTGATCAATAAAATTTGAAATATCATGAAATATAAAATTTTGTAACACCTAAAATAATTTAAGTTTTCTTTTTTTTTGATTCCGGTCATATTTATTATATAATATTATTTTATTATTATTTTTCATTTTTAGGAGCTATATTTATTATTATATATATATTTACATTATATTTACTATTATGTAATATTTCTTTATATATTATTATGATTTATTATATTATTATTATTTAATTTTAGTAGAATTTATTATGTGAGCATTTATGGTAGTATTAGGTATTTTATTAATGATATTATTCATAATGCAATTATTTATGTGAGTATTCAATCAATAAAATGCTTATATCTGATAGTTTACATAGTGCAGGGTTTTGGAAAAAAATGAGTAAGTAGGTAATTTAGTTATTTCAGATTGCTTGAGTGCACAATTAATTAATTATTAAGTAATTTTTTGGTAGTTCAGGTTCATAAAGTGTTACGGAGCACTGAAACTCAAATTAAGTTTATGTAGAATAAAATAATATTAGCATAAATGATTATTCAAAATAAACTACGAAATATTTTTATTAATTTCGGAATAAATGATGTTTAATACCTAAAGGTTTTAATTAAAGTAAAAATGAAATAGTTGTGTTGTCTTACAAATAAAAGTTGAAATATGCCCTAATATCATTTACTTTATAGGTAATAAAGATTACTATTAAGACATATTTATAAATGTTTGGTAAATAGTTTCACTTCTTTTAATACTATTAACATTTCACAATAACTAATATTATTATTTAATGTTATTATTCAACATTAGTTGTTATAAAAAATATATACTTCACATATGTAGATATTAATATTCCTTGCTAATATCATATGAGTATTAGTATATCAAACCAATTTATATAAATTTCGTTCAGTTTAACATAGTTTTAAGGGGGAAAACACATTTCTGTTAATTATTATATTAAACAATATAAAGGTGAGCACATGTGATTTTTTGAGCGTTGAATTGTGATTTCAGAGAACTTGATTTTACTCAGAGTTACTTTTAAAACAATTACGAAATAAGAAAAGAACATGAATGAAAAGGCTTAGAAGTATTGATAATACATCAAGTATAATTCATAAACTATATAGAATGGACAAATAATTTTTCGAATTATTTATATGAAATTAGCAAAGGATTTGTCAAAAGATTAATTTGTTAGTCTTTCTAAATGAATGGAATCTCTATAAATTCATATTCATAAAGGAAAATTAATATATTTATAAAGGAATATAGTACGGAGTTGACTGAATAGATTAATAAACTTATCTTTATATAAATTAATTTATTAATAATTATATTGATAAATTTTTCAATTTATAAACAAACATAAAAAATTATCTTGTTGATAGTCTATTTTTTTTGTCTTATTATCCATTCGTTATCGGTCTCACCTTTTCTTTAGCTTGTAACAGCATATGTTTGTTGTTAAAATTTTGATATTTTTTTCTTTAACATTACTTTTAAACCAATACAGCTAAAATTATGCTACTCATATCTTTATAAAAATAATAACATTTTAAAATAATTTCGAAATAAAAAATGTTTTAATTTCACAGAAATAAGAAAATAATTACAGTTAATGCGAAAAATACAACAATTTCGCAACAACAAAAACAGTTATATAACTCCTTAAAAGTTACAGAATTTTTAAGATAATAGTAGTATAAGTGCTTATTTTTTATTCAGAACAATTATGTAAAATTGGTTGTATGTACAATTTATGATAAATATAAATTTTTAACTTTTGGGTAATTCTTTAACTTGAAATTAAAAAATAATTAATTATAGTTTAAAATAAACAATATCTAAACACATCACAAATAGACTGTAACAGCCATCTGATTGAAAAATAAGCATGATTCTGGGTGTATTGAATAGATTGTTTTAATTTTTTTACGCGTTACTTTCATACACTCCAGTCCGGAAATATCACGAGAACGAGATACCCTGTCATTTTGATTGAAGAGAAAAGAAAGAGCTTTTTTTTAAATATTAAGGACATGAATGAACATTCTGAAGTTTCAAAACAATTTAATGGTTATGACAATTTAATGGAATAATCATTTTAATTTTTAGTAGTAAATGAATAATTCTCTTACCTTGGAGATCATGTTTTACGAAGTTGAATGGTTATTGCTTATGCTGCATTAAAAACATTTTCTTTTATAGCAACCACAAAAGAAATGCATTTCAAATATTTAGAGTAATTTTTACAGGTGATTGATTCTAAGTTTCCGAAGTGAATTTAGTCAAACAAAAATGCTTGAATCTATCATTATTTCTATCACTTGATAGAGAAAGTGTCAAGGTCAGGAAAGATAGTCATTGACAAGCATAAATATGCAGATAAAAATTCTGATAACCTGAAAGACTGAAATAAGTAAAATGGTATTGAATTCATTTTTGTTGAATAGCTTTGATTTCATAAATACATCATTGCAAAAATAAATGGAATCAAAATTATTTACTTGCTATCGTTTTTCACAGATAAAAATAAACAGCAGTTTTTCTACAGATTTGAAGTAGTTTTGAAGTTATTCTGCAGTCAAATGTAGATTTTCTGTAGTACAATACTAACTGTAAAAACACTTATTTAGTAGCAAATGTGCAGTATGCTCTCAATAGTTTGTTTTCCAATGACTTTTCACCTTTTGTCTAGAAAGTTACTGTAGTTTATATATGTTATAATTTAAAAAGTAATGAAACTCTAAACCCATATTTATACTGCAGCAAATTCGAAGTAATTATACAGACATTGCTTTAGCAATATACTTTTTGATGTACCTGTAGAAAAATGGTTGTTTTTTATTGTTGTAAATTTGAGAGTGAGAGAGTTTCCCTGCTGATTTTGATGTCTTCAATCTTGCTTTCCTCGTTAAAAAATCTATATTAATACAACTTTTTATAACGTTTTCGTTAGTTTTTAATGATTATATACTAATTTAGGATTATTAGTTTCATATAATTCGGTAAAGATTCTAAATATATATATAGTAAGGGAGAAGATAACGAACACTAAACTTTATCTTTTTATTTAGATAATATAAAACAATATACCTTTTTTATTGATTAAAAATAAATCATCTTAAATAAAACAAATGTCAGATCTACTTTTACCCCTCATTGCAGACTGCATTTTTAATACGTAGAAAAATTGGCCATCAGATAATATTCGCATTTGCCCTGCTCCTCCCCATATTTAAATTTGGGAGCGTTTTTGGGTGGCGAGAGCCGCCCTTAGCTTTTAGATTTGCTGATGTCGCGATTGTTTTTATATGTTTTTGTGTTATTGTGATTTCAGAAACTCTTTCTCTTTCGTTGTAACTTGCCAATGGAGACAAAATAAAAAAATAATAATAGTTTTGTTAGAAAAAATATAGCTCATAATATTTTCAATTTAACATAAATGACTATAAGATTTATTGAACGTTTAAAAAAAATGACGATAGCTATGGCAACAAACGCAACTCTACATAGTCTACATTTCTCGTAAAAAATTGTTAAATAATAATTAATTTAATTGTTTTCTTCTCGTATTCAACTAAAACAATCAAATAACCATAAAAAGACGGTATTCAAGCTGTTAACTGTGAGAAAAATAGCATATTAACTTTTTACCAAGTATGATTAAACAAGCAAGAATTTTATTCGCGGAAACTAGGTCCACGTTATGAAACCATTTATTTCCTTGCAGAGGGGATGTAACAGAGTAGCTGGATAGAGTAATCTGTCAATATCATGGTCGATTGAATGAGAGTTAGAATCCTAACGAAACATCATACGTTAATTTCTTCAACGTATGAAGAGTTTCTTGTGATGTCCATGATTATTAAAATAGTGATACAAAAAAGCAGCATTTTTTATAACAAAAAGCTTAGTAGCTCCCATCAATGACGATATTGCACCTTTAAATAATCTAATGGCTCTGAGTATTTACTGTAAAATTTGTTAGGTCACTGCTTTGTTTTGCCTTCAGTTTAATCTCATCATAATCAATCCGCATTAGTTGCAGGATTTTTATTTCAAATTAGCCCGTGAAATAAATGAAATAATGCAAAGAATTATTTGTCCCCTACAATTTTTACAGGGTAAATAATTTTTTTTTGTTCTGAAAATGCCACTTACCTGGTTCTTCCGCTACATTTTTCTATTAATATAGCTAAAATAATGTAAAATTTTTATTTAATATAATTTGTTGCCTTTTTCAGTAGCTTTGCGTTACAGAAGTGAGCGAAAATCGTTTTTTTGGTAGCTCTTCCCATTACAATAAATATAAAATTCATTTAGCAGCTCTTGGATTGATACTATTGATGCCAACTGATGATAATCAATGAAATATCAATTAAAGATTAACTAATTAAAGATCACCAAGTTCCCTGTTTTTACGCTGAAACAAAAACGCGTGATAGAAACTCTCGCATGTAACTTTAAATATAAAAATGCTTATTCTTATTTGTCCAAACTGCATTTCAATTTCGAGACTTTTAAATTCACTAAATCATTATTTCATTTTCTGGCATCAATTTTATGCACTAATGTTTCATTTTCTAACTGCCAATTACTATCCCTTAAATAAAAATATCATAAAATTTGTAAAAATAATCTAAATTTTTAGTAGTAAAAGGTTAGGCAGCAAAAGAGATGATACATTAAACTTAAAATTTTATGTTGGTGTACTCACATTTAAGATCTACATCAGTCAAGCTTAAAATCCTGAGTCAAAGAAAAAAAAATTTAACAACAGGAAATCTTTCTTTAAGGCTTAAAAATATGAACAAAACTGATTGGCAATCGAAACTCCCTTTTATCAATAAAACGAGTTTCATGAATCAATTGACTGATGTTATCTTTTTAACATAAATACTTATTGACACAGTTAGGCCATAATTTAATTCTTGAACAGTCATTAAACTAAATCAATTTTTAAAAAAAAATATTTTTTGCTATAAAAGGTATTATTTATCGTTTTAGATCTGTGTATTCTTTTAATTTAAAATAATTTGTAACAGTTAAAGTTCGCTTTTTTTAATGTAAATTGGCTATACCGAACATTTTCGTTAAGAAAAAAAAAGATACCAAACGAACGTGAAGAGAAGACGAACTCACACGATCGTGTACGCACACGGACAAGAGCATTAAATTTATTCTCACTTGAGAAATACAATTTTATACTTTCATGTTATATTGATTTTGGAGTAGAAGATTTTAAATATCGAATACTAGAAATTAAACACATTTATAAAAGCAGATCAGCTGGCGTGGGAGGCAGTCAGTTTACAAGTAAAGATATATTTTTTTATCATTTTTTTTGTATTTTATAACAATAAGTGATTGGTCATGATGTGATAATGTCGATAAGAATACACTTTTATCAATTTGTTTTCTTCCCCGTTTCATTGATCGACTAAAAAAAGTCAACAAACTAATGTTAAACCAGTGAAAAGTATTACCTTGAAGCAATTTATTTATGTTGAATTGCTTCCAAATGAGAAATAACATTAGCAGGTGGCTAAAAAATGGAATACTGTTGGTTATGTAGCGTTTTACTTTTGTGTGTTAACTTTAATTTCTCTGTTTCCGTTCAAGGTAAAAATATTTTTGATTTTTCTGATGAACTGAACAAAAAAGTTCAGCACACAATCACGAACGACTCCGAAAACATTCAGCACGACTACGATTGGTGTAAGTACTATAAGAATTGCTCTTTTCTTAAAAATTCTAAAATTGTTTTTGTTTAATTTTAGTAACCTTTAAATAGATTCTTCAAATTAATCACTTTCATTTGGGAGAGAATCCTTAATATTATAATTTATAATTTTTTTTTTGTAAAGTAATTGTATAATTACTAATAATACTTATATAATAAACTAATTACTAATTATGACTTGGCTCGAAAGTACTACAAAAAACTCGAAAAGAAAGCATTAGATATATTTTTATTGTACGTGCATTTCTACTACAAAATATTATCGTGTTCTCAGTTAAGTTAACGTAAACAAAAGTTTTTGAACAAATATTTGTAATGTTTACATATGTAATATAATTTAAGTATAAAAGTTAGTAAAAATTTAGGTACCGTTGCATAAATCTCGCATCTGTTTTTATCAGTAAAAACTGAAATAAAAAATGCACATCGATATTAGAAAAATATTTATCTTTGTGGAACAAATCATTGGAGTTTTTCTTTCCTTCGATCATCTAAATCGGGTAACCTTATAAAATAATACTATCATAACAAAGTACTGTTGATCATTTCAAAGGGAGTTATTAATCTTGTTGCAAGAAAAATAATTGATTCGTGTTGATCACGATCTAGAAATGAAATACGAACCAAACAACGGAACTATTTGTTTTCTTTATGCTTTGCCCTTTCCGACAGAGAATATATACTACTAGGAGGCTCCGCCCCCTGCTCGCTAACACTCGCCAACCCCCGAGAAATGCTACGCAATCCTATGTGGTTCACGCCGTGAACCATGGCTCGCTGCGCTCGCTCGCCAATGAACACAATGTTCTAGCACAAAGACATAGTATATTATCATCAAAGACATAGTATTTTATCATCAAAGACATAGTATTTTATCATCAAAGACATAGTATTGTAATGTTCTTATTGACTTTTAAAAAAGTATAT